TTATGTTATTATCTCCTGACTGATATTATGTCATTATGCTTTTCTATTGACGTAAAGACTTATTAGTGTTATTATCGTAAAGAATTAGTTCTCATTATTATTATCAGTAGTATTACGTCATGTTTCGTATGTTATACTTGGACAATATAATGAAAATGTACTATTTGGATATCCATATCAGGACAAATTTTACGAATCCCATTTCCCTAATACTAATCAGGATGTAACACTATTTTGGAAATCACATGGATTATCAAATGAATTGTCAGTGTTTGATTTTGCAGATCAATTCTAGAATGCTCGAATGCGTATCTCGAAATCTGAATGGTGTAAATTCCAAGAATTTCAAAACGATGTACAGATCTAACGTTGCGATAAGAATCAAGACTAACAGTTGAAATACAATTTTACAAGCATATACTTTCAGAATCCACCGGGATCTACAAGATTTTGAAAAGCTGTTTCTTCTCATTTTCAACGTTTTAGAATTATGCTTTGTTACACAACAACAGTTAATCGTGGGTTCGGCCAGAAATCTACCTTGCGCATTTAATTCTCTTTCGAAGAAGACTCAGTTAGCACCACGCGCGACTAAAGAGAATCAAAATGGTGACATGCGTCTCTCGTGCAGCCGTGAAAAGTCTAACAAAAATGGCTAAGTATCTTTCCTGTCATCGCTTGACTTTTTAGGCAAGTAGTCTATATGTGAACGACACTACAATCAGGAAATAGTTAAAGAAACAATTGACTAAATTTGATGATTCAAGTTTTTTTCAGATTTGAACGAAGTAGAACGAGAAAGAAGAAAGCTTACTGGTAATAACATGAGATGCAAGTTTGTGAAAAAGCTTTCTTGATTTCGGAATCCAAGTATCTATGTAGGAGCTAGCATACGAAACGTTTTTGAGTAGCGAATTGGAAGGGGCTAATAGACAGTTGTTATTAGAAAATGAAGCACTGGAAGACTGTCAGATGAAAGACTTGCTAAAATGAACAAGATCGTGTAAGGTTGGTATGGAAATTGAGAAATCGAGCAGCGTAATGTATACGATGATGAAAAATCAAGAGCGATTTGGTTTAGACCATCTACCGATTAATCGAAATCGCTTACGAAGAATAACGATTGCATTAAGGCCTGTAATTGACAAGTTGATTGGAGAAAGACATTGTAACTTCACATTCTAAATCTTCAGAGGTCCCATGATTGCTATCGATACTGGAAGAAATCAACAAAACGCTGAAATTGTTTGTTTTCTGTATAACGGCATTGGGAGATCATTTACTAACCTTTTTAACGTAATAAGATATTCCGAAAACGAAACATATGGCGAATGCTGATAATCGTGTTTTTCAAAATAGAAGCGGAGAATGGATGCTAAGTGAAGAAATGAAAGTATTTGGTGAAATTGCACATTGCAAAAGAATAGATTTTGTTTAATCTAAGAAGATCTTTTTGTTGAATAAATCCCTCGAGATATGTTATCTGACAATAGTATCACTATTATTAAACCGACACGTGACTTTCAAATTCTTCCATGGCGTTCTGTAATATAAACCTGGAACTTTCCAGAATTTTTTTATTAACATAAAAAGTGCGATCTGCATTGACCAAATTTGGTAGAATACCTGACTGTACTATTAGTTCATAATCATTATATTGCATATACTTTACATGTTTATAACGTTTTATAACTTTATCCAATATTGAAACAAATTTTTATAATGAAATATTAATACTATTTATTTTAATTATCCAATCATTATCAGAGGTCAATATATCGTTGGGTATTCTTGGATTAGCGATTGAGTAAACAATAAAATTATTTAACAATAATTACTGCCTATTTGATAGTAATTACACTATTTTGCACGTAAATAATTTACTTGATAATAATCAAGTGACTCAGTACCACTTAGCCGCTTTAGCATCACTCGGATCAATTCATTTGCTGTCAGTTTTAACCAATTCGCTATATGCGTGCATCTATGTCACCTGTTGCACGTTTGTCAACAGAAAATGCTTTATCCGTTGTATATAACATCACATTTTCTCGTCGTATTGCCCCACAACTTTATAATAAATGAATTAAAAGACTTGCTGTCTGTCGTTTAATCAAGAGTTTGCGGTGCTTTACACTGGTAACAGAATGTATTTTTCTTGGGTTCTAATCGTTCTGTACACGCCAAACGTAATCCATGCCCATAATATATTATTTATTAGATATTTTTGTATACCTGCATCGTATATAAATCCGACGGTAACCCCAAATATATGTGCCAAGAGTATCTGGATGCTTATCGCATAAATGTTACATAATTATATGTCAATAAGTTTTAAACTATTCAATAAACATGACATACAGCGTCCGTTCTCTCGAGTAGGGGTTAACTTAACAAGTGCATGAGCTGGTAAACCATCCAAGTGTACAAAGTTATATCTACTTCTCACCAGTTTATCGAGTCATCCCGGCGGGCTATAGTTGTGCTGTGCTCATCATCGATTATTAATCACACTTGGTAGCACAATTTTGACACTGTCGATCAAACTTCTCTATATCCTACAGAGCGACTTTATCAAATGTGGCGTTACAGAGAGATCCATCAAGCCATCAGACGGCTTTATTCTTTTGCCAAGTTTGTATTTGCATTCCAAGTTTCGTTGGCTTAAATGTATTGGCAAATTTAATTTCAATAGTATTAATTTATTTTATTTATTGTACCACTGTAAATTTTTAATAATCGCACACACAAGGCCGGACGCTGATCCTTAATGTTGTGTTACTATGTGTCACAAAAATAGAGAAAGCAAGCGGTCAAAAAAGTTTTGATGTTCTATTTTTCGAAATGCATGCAATTTGTTGATCGAGCGAACAATCGGAATTTCTAGAGTAGTTAGTAGCGTCAACCGTGTGTCAAGATTTCTCATACCAAAAAAATAAAAATAAAAAATGAACGGCCTGAACAAATTTATTGTCTGAAAATAAATAATACTGCAACGACTCCTACTTTCCTGGGGTCACTACATTATTACTGCGTAACATATACAGCGTATATATAGTAATAGAAAGAACACTATTAAAATTACAAGACCAAGCTCTTTCATGTTATAATGCAAGGTTTACTTCTAAGCATTATATTGTCTTTTGTCTTAACGGTAAGCAAGCTGAACAAATAAAGATCATTGTCAACATTCTCTTAATAATGTTGTCTTTGTTTAGCAAAGTTTAGTAAAAGCTCAATTCCAAACGGGTGATGTTGTTTTACTAGCACGAAACACATGGTAAGATATTTATGTTCTGACTCGGCAAGTAACGAAATTAGCCAGGTTTGATTTAAGCACATTATCTAAAAGTGATATTGTATATTGATAAGAGCGGAATAAATGTGATTATTTGAAGTGGGCTGATTCGATTTTGAGTCCAGGCTGCAACTCTTTTCTATTCAATTTTTTATTCATTTCATATATGCGTTTCTAATTCAATTTTTCGTTATGTCAAAGGTACGTGTGCTCCGCAAACCCGACAAATATTGCGAGTAAGTGCCTCGAAAACTGATTATCACAATTTTGCACTTACGCAGCAGACACTCACTTTCTTTTTACCTCTAGGCTATTCTATAATGACGTACAACCAGTCAGTCGCACCAACACCAAATTTTGGTAGCACGAGAAATGATGCCTGGATTGATCCCGACAAGCCGCCTTGCACACAAAGCTTTGTTTCAGTTGTTGTGGATCCGACTAATTATGCTAAAATCTTCGACCCGAAATCAAAATTGTTTTATGCTTGGGATGCCCAATCATGGTTAGTACGTAATGAATGGAGCTATTTAAACAGTATGGGACAATATTGGGCGTATAATAAAGGACTAATTATGTAATAACTTTTCCAGCATTACCACATGCGTAGATACATGCATGAAAACTGATCCCTTAAACAGTCCACAAGCGGCTGCTTGGTGTATTGTCGTAAGCAATCCCAATAACGGTGCAACAGCTTTTCTCAGAATTTCTTATACGTTTGACCCAACTGCTTTCATCAGTACTTCCATAGCCGGCAGTACTTCCACAGTCAGCAGTACTTCCATAGGCAGCAGTACTGCCATTACCAGTAGCACTTCCACTGATACTCACGCGGGTATTTACACTGCTACAATACAGATTTCTTCTAATGCTAACAAAATTGGTTGGAACAGTATTCTAAGCATTTGGTTAGCTATAATAATATTATTCAAAGTTTTATAGGCTTGTTGTAATGTATATGTACTGATGCAATGACAAAGTCTGATACATTGTTTTTAATTTCAAACAAATTTAAATGATAAGAACAGCTCCACAATTAATTGATACTATGATAGAACATAAAGTTAAATAATTCAACAATGGTGCAATGCTATAAGTCTTTTTATTAACGACTGCTTGTGCTGAAAAGTTTTGCGCAAGTGAGACTTTTGTTCAGTTTACTATTTATATATTAAACTCCAACTCGTGGGACAATTAAATGTACACAAAAACAAGCTTATACGTTGGATTACATAATTTCGATTTCATATTCACTAACGACAATCAAAATTTCTAACTTAGCCACAACAAACTTAAATCTTTCACCATACGAAGATTAAGAATAGCATTAAAGCCAAAATGTTATTAGTTTTCTTTTACATGTTCTCACATCTTAATAGCCCAATAACTTATATACCATCAAATTTTAAATAAATGTCACACGAACACTATTCATAAAACTAACATGTCCCCATAGCGATACTGATAAGAGAGGCGATCCAGAAAAAGACCCTCAAGCCAAGTAGAGGAAGACTCTGGCCAATCACAAACGACACATCCAAAATCAAGCCCCAAACCAAATTGCCCCGAAATTCGAATTACATTTAGGGAAGAAAACTTCTGACCTAGCAACAACGAAATTAAATCTTTCAACGTTCGATAAACAAGGATAATACATTTTTTCATTAATAGTTTATAAAGGTTCAAATTTTAATACTATCTAGATAAAATAATAATATACATATAAAAGTTGCGTTAACTCATATACAAAATTAACTCATGCTACACTACACTTTTTCCATGATTACATCAATGCATCCAATTTATACTTTGAAACAATGACCTTCCTCCAGTTAAGATTGCATTGCACTAATAGCTCACCTAAACTATTATCAATACTAATACTCACCAAATTAGCAAGAGGAGCAAAGCTCCCTCCCAAAATTAAGTCTTAGAAAGGCTAAATTTTTTGGGAGACGCTAGTTTGGAGCCATTTTAATATCTTCCGGATTCAGAATCTGGACGCTTTGTATTAATTATTAATATACTAACATTAAATTCAAACAAGCTTTGGATAGATACATAACTGTTTACAATTAAAACAAAGCTACCGTTGCCGTTGTAAACCGCTTCTGCCATGCAAACTAAAGCCAAACACATCTAAACAAAATACTACCTTCATTACAAACATTCCAACAATAAAACACATCAACCTAAAATTCCCCAAACAACAGATACCAACTCTGCAAAAGTGTATCTCAAGGCATCGCTAATCATGAAGGTGGAATATCGCCAGCTTAAATGCCAGCACCCCCCCCTCTTTGAGATCAACAAAGACATGTTAAACCAGAAAATACAATCATTGTATTTACCCTGCTTTACACCTTTAATTTTATTAACTAATTTTATCACCCTTGTTGTCGGGACCGTAAGCAAGATTAGGTCTGTCAATCTTGTTCGACGGCAAAATTGTATCAGCCAATCAAAAATCAGTGAGAATTGAAGACAAATTTCGCGTTCCTCGTTCCGTTGTTTTTACAAAATATATACCTTTGCGCAACACAACCTTTTATTTTTTTACGCTTATTAATCAACGTACTGAAATTTGTTGTTCCCATCATGTGATTTTTAACCCGCCAATCAGGGATCGGCACAAATTGGAACGGAACAGAATTGAACAGGCCTATTATATACAGTGGTACCGGAAATT